TGCTACCTTTGTAATTCATCCATTAGCAAGGACATTTCACCAGGGTGCCAACACGGTCTTACATTCCAGATTCTGTTAGAACTAGAGAGGGGAGGTGATTTTTACCTCTTAGACATGCTGATAATAAAATACTACATTTAGTTCTGGCTTCTACACTTTCAAAAGGATGCAGGAGAATTTCACTGGATCAGAAAAGTTACAAAAAGTCATTTGAGGGCTGTAGGAGATGTGTTCCAAGGAAATGTATAGGGATCTGAAGGCGTTTAGCATACAAAAAGATCAAGAAGAGATATGATTTTGGTAAATAAGAAACTCCACTAGAGGAAAACACCGAGCACTAAGGCTTTTTCAACAGAGTGAATGAAGGCATTAAAAGGACTGAAGGCCAGACATATTTCAAATTAAAAATCTGAGATGTATTTCTAACAGTTTGGGTGATTAGCACACTGAACACAGTTTCAGAGAAGTGGTGGATTCCACTTGAATCCTCAGATTTCCTTCCATGGGAGCTCTAGCCTGTTTCCACAGCGACTTTCCTGTGATACTTTGGTACACGAGTTTGAGGCACTCCTGTTTTTATTCCCTCCTGATCTCCCAAGAGCCAAAAATCCAGATCCACCTGGTACTTGCTAATGTTCATATGCAGAGCTAGTCCGAGATGTGCCTCCATAGCTCTCCTGGAATAGTCAGCCAGCCAGAGCCCCTGCTACCACTTCCAATGCTGACATGGGTGAGGCACTGCAGGGACGATACAGTTAGGGGCAGTGGAGAGATGCAAAATACTCAAACGGCACTAAAAAAAAGAAATTCCCTGAAATGCCATATATAGCCATGCTTGAAAATCTGTCTGTGAAATTAATGCCTATTTTTTAATGCCTTGGGGATGTTGATTGATGAGAAACTGAACATGACAGGCAGTGTGCGCATGAGCCCAGAACTGCCCCATGTGCTGGACTGCATCCCCCTCTACTGAGCTCTGGGGAGACCCCTCCTGCAGTCCTGTGTCCAGCTCTGGGGCAACAACACAAGAGGGACATGGAGCTGTTGGAGTGAGTCCAGAGGAGGCCACAGACATACTGCAAGGGCTGGAGCAGCTCTGCTCTGGAGCCAGGCTGAGAGAGCTGGGCTGGTTCAGCCTGGAGAAGAGAAGCCTCCTGAAGGGGAGATCTCAGAGCAGCTCCAGTGCCTAAAGGGGCTACAAGAAAGCAGAAGAGGGGCTTTGGACGAGGGCCTGTAGGGACAGGACAGTGGGAATGGCTTGAACCTGACAGAGGGGAGACTGAGATAAGCTCTTAGGCAGAAGTTCTTCCCTGTGAGGGTGGTGAGGCCCTGGCACAGGTTGCCCAGAGAAGCTGTGGCTGCCCCATCCCTGGCAGTGTTTCAGGGCAGGTTGCATGGGGCTTGGAACAACCTGGTCTAGTGGTGACCCTGCCTATGGCAGGAGGTTTGAACCAGGTGGTCTTTAAAGTCTTTAAGACCTTTTGGTCTTCCAACCCAAACCATTATATGATTCTATGAATTTTTCAGGCTGACTTCTTCAAAGCTGGAGAACTTTTTCTTTCAGCAGCACCATGTAACTAGGAATTCCATGAGAAACGAAATTGTCCATAATCACTATTATCTCCTGCTTTGTAACAGCTGCCAGTTTTATGCAACTTACGGTCTCCTCAAATGGCTGTAATTTTTCATGGTCCTAAATTTGAGAATGCAAGATAAAATTTCCTGCCACAACAGTATCATTCTGCATCACATTCTGATAACATTCAAATTCACCTTCATCCTCAAAACATCTTTCTTCTCCATGGGACAGTTGCTTGTGACAAATGTCTTTTAACAGAACATCTTAAGTGATACAAAAGTCAAAATTGCTCAAGGTTTAAAGCTTGGAATATTTGTATATACTCTCAGTAATATGTAAAGGGGCATTGTCAACTTGAACTTTCCAAAGCTATTTATCTTCAGAATTCTTTTGTTAACTTCAGGGCTTGTAAGGAAGCTAATCCAAATAGAAGTTTGTGAATTTCCTACTGATGTCTGTAAAGGTTATTCTAGGATAGGGTTCTAGGTATTCTGAAGGTATTCTAGGATAGTGTTTAGGCAGTGCCTCAGTAAAACCAGGTTTCTTAGAAGCTGCATGTCCTACAAGGCAGAGGAGGGGACATGGCACAGAACAAGAAATGTGCTTTCACCCAGCGGTGTACTTGCAGACATGTACTCAACCTGAATTTCCATGAAAAATGTTGGCAACACTGCTTAATGGAATCCCAGGCTGTTTTGGTTTGGAAGCAACCTTAAAGCTCATCCAGTTCCAACCCCCTGCCACAGGCAGGGTTCCCTTCCATTGAAGCAGCTTGTTCCAAGCCCCTGTGTCCAACCTGGACTTGAACACTGCCAGGGATGGGGCAGCCACAGCTTCTCTGGGCAACCTGTGCCAGGGCCTCGCCACCCTCACAGGGAAGAACTTCTGCCTAAGATCTCATCTCAGTCTCCCCTCTGTCAGGTTAAAGCCTTTCACCTTGTCCTGTCCCTGCAGGCCCATGTCCAAAGCCCCTCTCCAGCGCTCTTGTTGGCCCAATTTAGTTACTGTTTTCATCAAGTTATCTGTGGGCCCTCAGAGGATATTTTTCCTGTTAAAATGGTTCAGGTGGTGGAAGAAGCTTCCAGGTAACTTCCTACGTGTTGTATGGTTTTAGGAAATACCAAGATGGTGATAGGGTGTTCATGGAGATCTATCAAGCAGACAGTGGTGACATGTTTCTTAGGTCTTCATTCTAGATGCTAGGAAATTAGGAACATTTTATAGAGGTAGCAAAGGTGCACAAGTAAAACCAATTGTTTCTTTTGACTTAAATAAAAAATAGCAAGGGCTATTAATGTTGCAAATGTCCTGTAACTTCAGGAATTGGAGAACTTGGAACTCTGATGTAAACCATGTGATTTTACTGTCATCACAGTTTTCTGATGCATGTAGATTTTTCTGTTCTGGTGGGGTAGCTTTTTGTGCCTGTTTTTGAGTCAGAAGTGGATTATTTCTACATTACTTGTATCATAGTGATTTTCTTTAAGAGAGTTTAGTCTGGTTCTTTCAATGATTATTGGTTAAAGATGTAATGTTGTTGCAGAGACGTATTTTTCAGTGGTATCTGTTTTAAAATTAACTATCAAACAATATTTAAACCAGGGGTATCTCCTGCTTTGGATGCTTGATTCCAGTATTTTTCTATCTTAAGGAGGGCTTTACACACCTTCCTGCAGCCTAAATAATAATTTGGCATTCTTTGTACACTTACAACACTTTTGCAACACTTCCATTGACCACCAGCCTGCACTAACAACAGCTTTACTCTTTCCTTACAGTTGTTAATTTAATTTCTCACTCCTTATCATTGAAAGGGTTCAGTATAAAAGGTAAATAATCAGCTCAGAATTCAATGTCAGTTGGAGGTTTTTTTCGATTATGAAATAATTGAACCTTGTTACTCTATGAGCTTTGCAGTAGTTCAATTTTGACAGCTGCACTACAGACAGTAAATTAAAAAAAAAAAAAAAACAACAAATTTTCCTGTACCAAATTTAATCTGCCTGTGATAGCACAGGACCAGTTTTATGAGGCTGCATTTATTCTCATAATTGGCTATTTCCTGTCCTTAAATGCCTATTTATTCATGTCTGCCACTTTTTTCTCAGTTTATTGGCACTGAGGTCACCACATTATCTTTCTCTTCAAAATCAATTGACATTTTATGAAAAGAGTTTGCTAGATGTTTAGTTTAGTGAGAGTGGCATACAGAACATGTGGTTGTCACATTAAATAGGTGCTTTTGAAAGCAGTGTATTCAGTGACTTAACTGTATATAGAATATATTCATTTATTTTATTTCAGTACTGTTATTGTTTGTATTTAGAGTAATGAATTGGCAAAACATTACTGGGGGATGCTACCAGAAGTATTCCAAATAGTGCTTTTTCACAGAAATTCCAGAGCAGTGCACAGTGGCGTTACATTTGACATAGGTGTTGAATTTCTCAGCATGCTCAGAGTTGCAATCTCGGAAAGTTGAAATTAGTGAATTATACAAATTAAAATATTAAAACTTATAAGCTTTGCACAGACTAATGACTCACCCTGAGGTATTCTTGTTCTAATTAAAAGCTTGTGGACAGCTGTTTGTTAGCAGTGATACTATTTTCCCTTCAATGCTCTACCTTTTATTTTTAAATGTGTTGCAAAGCTATTTCTGCTGGCTGGTACGTACAAAGCCATTCTTCATTAGCTCAGTGTACAGTACAACCAGGGTTTATTCAGAAGGGGATCAAGCAGGCTTCAGCCAGTCTGTGCAGGTGTAAGTGGTCCCTGCTCATTACAACCAGAGTCATCTTATTATATAGGGGGTTGTGGCATAAGGTTTTATCCTAGATGCCTGCCTGGAGCTTTGACCGCAAGCCATGCACAGCTTACTGCAGGAGAGCTGAGCCTTTTGGGTGGTGCTCCAGTCCTGGTTTTCTATGCTCAGTCATGCCAACTCCATCACAATTAAGTCTGCTCAGATTTTCAATTTTTTTTTTTTTTTTTTTTTGAGGGGGGGGGGGGATTTTTACTGTTGTCAGATGAATGGCATAAAAAATATTCACATCAAAACTTCGATTTTGTGTTTATACAAGAGGTGTAATTAAAAAAACAGTTTGCATCCAAAGCTGAATTTTTAAAATTCTCTTTGGCAGCATTCGAGTAAGGCACATTAATTAACCTTGTTTCTAGGGTCTACATTCTTTTTAATATTTAATGCTCACAGGGATAACAGGTTGTAGCTTAAAAAAAAAAAAAGAAAAAGAAGGTCAAGCAAATGGCATAGGTTGAAGCTGAAGAGAAATCCTTCCACAAGTTGGGAAGGAACGGGATTTCTACTTACTTTTTCTGTCCAGCTGAAGGCAAGTAAAGCAGTGTGCTCTGGTTTGATGTGAAGAAAACTGCATGCTGATGGAGAATTGTTTGTTCATAGGTGCCAGGTTGACCTGTCGACCCTGAGTAAAGAACAAACCCACAAACTGGAGATGCCGCTGGAGGAGGGAGAGGGATACCTGGTACTGCTGGTCACTCTCACAGCCTCAGCTGCAGTCACTATCTCTGACCTCTCCACCAACTCCCTGGAGGACCAGAAGGAGCGAGAAGAGATACTGAAGAGATATGTATGCA